AGGAAAAGCAAATCTTGTCCAGACTATGTATCTATCTATCTTATTGTCTTTAAAAGAGCAAATACAAATGATTAAAGCTAGGTATTATGGTCTATAGTGATATATATATAAATATAAGGTCGGTGCAAGCGCTCTCTTGTGCTGAATGAATGTACTTTGTATGTATGTATGTTATGTAGAGCTAGCTGTCCTGTCCGCTGTGATGCGCATCATGTAGACGCTATGTATGTAATTAAGAGATAAATTAATTAATTGATGAATTGATAATTAATAATTAGCCTGGGGGCTTCTCGTCCCGTTTCCGTGTCTGACAAGCGACAGACAGCTGACAACCATCTTCCTCACCAAAAGCACTGCATGTCTCGTCTCCCTGTCGCTCCCCCTTGCTGTACGACCCCCAATCCGGCTCAATCGTCTAAGAAGCGATCGCTCCTCATGAACGCACAACGTCGTACCAGTCCGTCCAGCTCCATTGCTTGGTCAATTTCCAGCCATTACCCTTGGGGGGGGAAACCATTTGGCCCATGTGACAGAGCTGATACTGCACACGCATCGCCGTGCCAATGGATATTTCTCTGTAAAATCTCAGTCCTCCTGTTGGCATATTCAACGTCATGCATGCGTCGATGCACGAGAAGCGGGAGTTGGCACGGTAGGAGATAGTAATCTTGGAAACGGGACAGGTCATGTCAATGGTGGAGATTGTCAGTGGCGAGGGCAACGTATACGTTGCATATGGTGGTGAGGATACGGCTGCGGATGCGGGAGTGGGTGAGGATGAGATCGCCAATGTGTATGTTGTTGGGGTCGGGACCGTGGAAGTTGGGATGAGAGTCGATAAAGTTTGTGTTGCGCCATTCTCTGCTGCAACCGATTGGGGCGTTGTCCTACAGATTTGTTAGCTATCGCGTAGCTATGCAGTGATACTTATGAGCCCACCTTGAGTCCTGAACGGCTATCGACCCTCCCACATTTCCGCCGACCGCTGCAGCGACCACAACAACAGCGAGTACTCTTAGAAGCTAGAGAACCCATTGTGCCTTCACTTCAAGTCCAGCTTCGTGAGGTCTCGGATCTAGGCCTTCATAATTATTGTCCGCCATGACTGCCAGCTCAGGGGAGGATTGAAGGGTTCCGAGGGTACGGGAGACCGACATAGCACTCTGTATATACGGGTTTCCCTAGACGGCAAGAAATCCGGACGGTATGTACCTATACATGGAGCGTAGAGATTGAACAGCCGATAGGATCACCGTTGTTGTCGCTTGAAAAAATCTTTTTGGGGATCTAGAGGCTAATTAAACTGCAGGTCGAGATACCCAATGCATATGTATGCGCCCCTGTCAGCCTCACGAAGGCGTCAGTTGGCCAGACAATTCCGGGGCCGCGGTAGGATCGAAATTTGCAGGATTTTGCCAAGTTCAATCAGAGGGCCAGCGTGCGGTCCTCCGAAATTCTCAGGGACAGATATATTGCAGCAAGAAGAGGCCAAGGACCAAGTAGGTGAGGTATGCAGAAGGCCATGTAGATGATACTCGGCTCCCTGTAGACGGGACTCTGGTGGTCGGTATGTCAGCAAATGCAATTCCTCAGCCCTCCAAAAACAGGACTTACTGTTCCAACTGTAGACCCATATCAGTGATGGCGTTGCAACGATTGCGTTCCAACTGCGAAACTTGTTCCATGCCCACTTGATTATCGTTGGAAAGAAGCATCCGTCGACCGACACCGTCGCTGAAAGTTAACCACTTCGGCGAGGAAATTGTTTCCCCAGACGGAGAAGTGAAGTTGGTCGAGTATTTGTTCGGGTCGTACGAGCGGATGAAGGAGATGAAGTAGTTCTGTACAAAGGCACTGGCTGCGCTTGCACCGCTGTTGTGCCAGATCGAGCCGACTTCCGCGACATGGAGCGCCTTTCCAACATTCCATCGGTAATTCCATGTAGGAACCGAAGTTCCATTCGAGATTTCCGCATATGTATGCGACAGGTTAAGACCCGGACAGATGTATCGAATGTGTCCGTAGACGTCAGATGCAATGTTCCTCCACTGCGGGTCCCGTCTCGGGTCCAGCGATCCGTGCCATACTGATCGAATGCGAACGTCGTCTGCATTGTCGATATTGGGAAATTGGTCCTTGACAAATTGCTCGGCCTTTGACAGGGAATTGATATTGGAGGGTGTGAAGCCCAACCCTTCGTTCGTAGTGTCGCCAAAGATTGTAGGTACTTTTACGAAGTGACCAGCCTTGACCTCGTTGTAAGTGTAGTCCTTGACAAAGTCAAAATCGAGGGTAGGGTTCCAGAAGTACAAAGGAGGGTTTTTGCCACCTGGGAAGGGAACTTTGAATGTTCGCACAGCTGTTTGAAAAGAGACGGCGTCCAGATTCCGTAGACATGCTAGGTCGGCGCAGTCGGTCTTTTTCAGGAGGGCGTCGAAGGCCCACTGCATCTCTGTAACATTTCGGATTGGTGGGAACGCTTGAGACTCTGCTGCTACGGCGTGGAACAGCTTGTCATCCCGGCCACCATGGGCTGTGAGTTGTAAGACGACGGATGCAGCGCCAGCACTGACTCCACCCAGAGTCACGTGGTCAGGATTTCCTCCAAACTGTCATGGTCAGTATGTCAGTGAAGGAGGGTTGAGAAAGTATGACCACGGACCTCTCGGATGTGAGTCTTCACCCACTTCAACAACTGCCGCTGATCCTTCAATCCATTATTGAGACTTGTATCAGGGTCGTCCGAGATTTCCTTGCTAGCCATGAATCCATACGGGCCGACTCGATAGTTAAAATTCACCACGACCATTTGACCGTCGGCTGCATTGATCAAGTCCCCGCCATTGTAGTTGGCATTTCCGTTCATGTTGAACCCGCCACCTTGAACGAAGACGTAGACTGGCAGACTGCTGTTGGTGGTAGCATTTGCCGGGGCGAAGACATTGGCGAACAGGCAGTCCTCCGACTGTGTATCTCCGAACTCAAACTTGAGATTGGTTCCAGAGCCGATACATATTGGGCCAAACTGGGTCCATGTTAGCTTTAAACTTTTGGTGGAGAATTTGTGTATCCTACATCGCTAGCATTGACGATGCCTTTGACGGGGATAGGATCCATGGGCGCGGCGAAGCGCATTCCGTCGAGACGCGAGACGGATCTCGCAAAGCGCATTCCAGCCCATCTGTTTACACCATCTCCCTGGTCGACGCCAAGATATTGCGAATAGCCCAGGTCAACAAGCAAATCGACGGCAAAAGTTTCTTGCACGCAAAGCGCTAAAAACAAGATGATTAAAAACAGCATGGCCGCTGGAATGGGATATGGCAAAGCGAGGGAGTTTGCTTTTATCAAGAGAGTGGACGAAGCCCTCAAGGAAGGGGGTCGTTTGACGATTGCAAGGCGCTAAGGCAAGAGCAACAGGACGGACGTGGGACAGTGGAAGCCCGGACTTTTTTTTTGGTGCTGCAGAAACACGGAGAAAGCTCAAATGCAGATGTGGAGTTGCCAGTGATAGCAAAAGAAACGGCTTTGGTATCCGCATCTTGACCCTACCTTGTCCCGGCAAATGCTACCATTGTATGCTGCACACACCAAGTCAGTAATCAAGTAAGTGGGTGGGTACACTTGCCATTCCCCCCTTGGGAACATGACTACATACATACCAGAACACGGATGAAATAAACGCGACAGGGCCAGTTACAACGTTTTGCATATCGAATATTGAACAGGCGAATAGATAAAGAGCAAGAGGTCAGATCCAACACGACACTGTACGTTACTACAGGAAAGGGGGGGAGGAGGGGGGAATGCCTAGATATATATGAGTTTATTAATGGCACAGTCACGGCGGCTGTGTTGACGCACTCGGGAGCTCGAATGGCGTCCAAGTCCCCGTATACATAAGCCATACCTTTATAGCTCCAGACCGCTCGCGGTGCATGGCCAGAGAAAGATGCGCAATTGGGTGGTCTCGATCTCACAGCGATGCGTCTAATTTGGCCGGAGATGGCGCGGTGGGATAATAGCGTGGTGGCGTGTGTTTGCGCCTTGGGGGGCTTGCTCGGTTAGAGGCCCCATGTAATATGTATGTACATAAGGCAATGAGGCATTTGGAATGTGTGCCTGCAAATGACGTTTCGACGTTTCGACGTTTCGACGTTTCGACGTTTCAAGCTCGTCAAAGTTTCGGACGTCGTTTGGAGCCAAGAGATGCGCGGGGGTTCGTGTGTCTGGGGGATCCCGTCTGACGAAACCACCGTCTGTTACTCTGTGCCATGCCATTTCCATTCCATTCCATTGCTCTGTTTTCTTTCTTTCTTTCTTTTTCTTT